CAACTTCTCGAAAATATGAAAAAGACCACCAAGAGAAAAAAGAAAAGTAACTTCTCGAAAAACAAAAAATGCAAAGGATCCGAAGAAAAAGAGTGCAATATTGACAAGTTTCCATTTTTTATCTATTCGAATTTAAATATGACTTGCGATTACGTATATAATCAGTTATGTTCAAATTTTAATTTTTATAAAGTTGTTTCGTATTAAAATCACTGTTTTTTACAATAAATGAACCTATTTTCTTTTAATTTGATTTCATATATTGTAAACCGATTTTATTTTGATCCAATTTCTTATATTGTAACGAATATAATTCTTTGTTGTAAGCTGCACATTCAAAATAAGATTATGTAGATATCCAGTCATTTTAATCTTACATAAAGCCAGATTTTCATAATAACATATAACCAGTCATTTTTATTTTTATATAACCAGTCATTCTAATTTTTATAACCAGAAATTTTAATTATAATTTTTAACATAATCAGATTGAATGAATATTATTTATTACGTATTAGTTGTTGCTGTAAATTCTGGACATTACGAGTACCTAAGACCGGTTTTATTTCATTTATTGAAGACTCTATAAAGTATTTGTCCCAAAGTGCATGAAATTTAGCCGGAAATGTTTTCATATTTAAACAGTATGTAAAATGAATGAACATTGTTTTCCCATAATCAATTGGAATTTTTTCTTTTTTATCTAAATAAATTAATTTCTCTCGTGATGTTTTATAATTGCTTGTCGATAATGGTTCTATTAAATTATGTTTTTGAAATACCCGACGGAATTGCTTCTCTATAAATTCACCAGGATATTTATTTAATAATAAAGTCATTCTTAATTTTTCACGTTCATTTAAATATGTTTCAAATGTTGAACAATATTTAATCGCACGAATTAACATAGCATATGAAATATTCATTTTCATATGTATTGGATGAACACTATTAAATGGTAAATAATATGGTTCATACGATGGTTTGTGATAAACTTTTGTAAATAATTCACCATTTCTATTTTGTATGTATAAGTCAAGAAAATTTGTTGAATGACCAACTTGAGCTTTTAATTTTATATTCAAGTCTAATTCATTCCATCGATTAATTTGTTTAGAAAGATGTGGAATCGGCCAATTAATAATTATGAAAATATCATCAATATATCGTAAGTAGAATCCATTGCTATTGTTCACTTGTTTAACAATATCTCGTTCATAAAAGTACATATAACAATTAGCAATTGTTAATGTTAATAGAGAACCCATAGCACCACCACGTACTGGATGAAAATATTTACCATTGTAAGAAAAACAATTATTTTATATTACGAATCGACATAATCTAATTATTGCTTCAGCTTTAATATTACCAATTTTTTTTATTTTGAAATAATCTAATAGTTTTTTAATTGACATTATACTTTCTGTTTGGGGTATAATCGTATAAAGATCCATAACATCCATTGTACATATTAAGGTTTCTTGACGTATGTTTCGTTTTGACCATTCATGCAATTGTTTAATAACTTCAGTACCACAAGTAACAGTTGTATTTGACGCCATTTTATTAAATAATGGTCGAAGTAATTCGTCGAGAAATTTTGATATTTTTTTAGTTGGATGTTTTAGACCAGAAATAATTGGACGAAGTGGAGTACCAGGTTTATGAGCTTTTGGTAAATAATAAAGATGTGCTAATTCCACTTCATTTGATTTAATGCTTA